GCTGAGGATGCAACTAAAGCGTACCAGAAACAGTCAATCTGGTTTAATTGACGAATTTTAACATCTAGGTAATTCTTTTATTGCTGGAAATTCGCCTTTAAAAAATAAAACAACATGAAGTATTACGACGACACTGCCTTAGTGCATTTTATTAATTACATCATATCATGCGTCTCTTAGATGACACAAGTATAACAATAAATTCAAAACAATGCTTTAATTTTCTATACAACTACATTTTAAAAATTGTGTATATTTATATCACATAGTATATGTAAGTTGTTTTCATTTTATTCTCATTTACTAATCGAAGATGAATGGTTTATTTCTTTTTTGGTTAAATTTCCATGATTCTAATTAGTGTCGGGTATCTACCGATTAATTCTCATAGTTTTTGCAATTCACGAAAGCTTCTTGAAGATTTTTCGTATATAGGTGCCACATAAAAGTACCAGACTAGTAATTTTGTGTAAGCCTATTTTAAATAAAATTGTAAAAATCAATGCTATAGTGCATTCTCGTTAAGAAAATAGTGACGTATTTGAGCGATGATTCCCCCACCCCCTGACCAATGGCTTATATTTTTATGACGTTAGAACGCGTAATACTTGCTCTCAGTACTTTCTTTTTATGGCAAATCAATCATTACCTCTACTCGTACTCGAATGAAAACAAATACTTTTGTGATTATAGAGCACAATTGATGGTCATTGGCATTATAAAAATGTAACTAACTCTATACTTTTCTTATACTTTACACTTATAACTTTTTACAGCAAGAAAATAAGGTGCAATCCCAGTGCCATAAAAGTAATAACAAAATTATCTATTTGTATCGACCTTTCGTGAGTTGCAAGAACTGTAAGTAAATTTTATTATTGAATATGGCAAGAATATTCATGTATTTCATCATTTGACATTCTAATGACTTAGAATTATTTATAGGGTTCTTCAGAAATACATCAACTAAGTTTTAAAGTTTGAGAGAATAGGGAATCGTTAAAATTGAATATTTATGACAAATGTTAAAGTTTAATTATAATCATAATACAGCCTGTATTATGATTATAATTAAACTTGCCACATTCACAATGCTATGTCACGATCGAGGAGTTTTGAGAAGAAATTCCGTTATGTTATCGTATGTGGGTGCACGCTAACTCGCAGATACTACGATAACTTTGCAGATTGTTCGATGAGTGTAATATGATGAGAATGTGTGTAAAATAGCTGTATGGGTTTCTAAACTTGGAGACAACTGAGGATAACGCATGCCGTAGGTAGGTAATATTAGGCTGAGGATAGTTAGCCAACAACTTTGTTGGTTAGTGAATATTGATCATATGCCCAGGCTTAGTATGCACAAAAACTTTTTTGACTGCGGCAGAATACCTCAAGGCGTGGTGTATTAAAATTGGACTTTTAAAATTTATTATATTATGATTTAGTCTTTAATGGTGTCTTGACCTTAAATTATATTTCAACGTGCGTTAAGATTTTATTATGGATTCGACTTATACACTCGTCATAATGCAAAAAAGACACATACTTAACACAACGGTTATATAATAAATATTGAATCAAAATGACAAGTTTAGAAATCTGAAACCACAAATGCAGCTGGAACTGTGGACAGGGTCTTGTATGTAAATAAATGTGTTAATAGCGTAAATGTACAACATTTTGTATTCTGAACCTCATTTCTACTTTGTTACAGTAATGTGTTGTATTGCAAATATTACTATTGAAATTAGTAATTACATAAGAAATTCTGTGATTTGAGGTCTGAGAGTTGCACACATCCACTTCCATAAGGAAATTCCTTAATTCAAATGTTTTTCTAGTATATAACAACTTATATTCAGAGAACATTTAACCGAATGATATGAGAAAATCGTAACTTGTATTGTCGTTTTTTCATTATAATAACATCTTACAAACTAATGTATAAACTATTACTAAGTATTTGTGTTTGATGTTTGTGTTGTCGGAATCTTCAATTATTTAAGTTTATCCTTAATTACGAATAATTGAATGTTCTCGACGTGGGTGATGGAGCGTGGGCTGATGAGGGCTCAGTTAATAGACAAAAGGGAAGATGTGGTGTTAGTCACGTCGGTCACGATCTACACAAGGTAGATAGACCTTTATTAAGATGGGTTCACACATTACTAAATAGTACGAAACAGTTTTAGATAATAGTAAATGACAATGGTTAAGAATGTGACTATAACCGAATAAACTTTGTTTTTACTTTGCTAAGATCTAGATGAGTTAAGTTAGCTATAAGATTGTTTAGGAGTACGTAGACTTAGCATAATAACTTGGTAAAATTTTTAAATTTGGAAAGCCATTACATAAAACAAATGTCGTAATGTCGTCTAAATGTTTAGACTGCACGGTTAAAGTAAAAGCGTTAAACCCTTTGCATTATCCTTAATATACGACTTCGGTCAAAACACAATCAACTTACGTCACAGAATGAAATAAATGTTCATATTAAATGCACGAGATGTGACTAGCAGTGTCTGAACCCATCCTTAACCTACGGAAATAGATGAGCTTATAGGATAAGCCGCTAAGGGACTAACGCAGTACATTTCACCAATGAGGGTTAAGAAAGGGCACTAGTATCATAGCTCATTTCCGTCTCAGAGAAATATCTCTTAAGAATTTATTTATGAAATGGGATCAGGATGGAAAAAATGGAATTTATTTACGAACAAAACATAATTTAGTTTCTTATATTTGCCCTATTACTGAATTTGAAGGCAAAGACTTATATAGAGCTGTCAAACACCCAGTTACATTAAATTACATTAAAAAGCAACCAATAGTATAATACATGCTTACATTTAGTACCATCACGATAGCTAAGTACTTAAAATTATAGGCAGTTGTAACCTAACATAACGGCCTTAGAAAATATTAAACTATAAAAGAAATCTTCGCCGATTATATTACTACTCAAGAAAAATGCACAGCAAGCAAAATATACAACTAATATTACTTTACATTCACATTCACTGTAGTGTTAATTCAACAATTATGACTCCCTAACTTTAGTATAACAAAGACACACTAACGTACCGTTACTTTTATACTAAAAGTTAGTAACCAGCTAACGGAGTTGGAAATTAACAATACACTGATGTGAATGTAAGTTTGAACGCGTACTTTCTCTAATATATTAACCATTTATCTATAATTCAGTCACAATCATCTTAAACAAGCACTTGCAAATATTTGCTGTGAAAATTGAACACTTCACGTAACAAATTATTTACTAACGTGACCCCAGAGACTATCTCAAGGTTAATGCTGGTTTTTTTTATTACATATATTGTTTAAAGGCAACATAAATTTACTAGGCCATCAGAAAATATTTAAAAATATAAATTATTGTTACAGTATCAAAACTGTGTTTTGTAGGTATGTTTTTACTTAACAGTTAAAAGTTTAAAAAATAAATAACACAATTAATATATTATTAATTTTAGTTTTTTTTTCATATAACTAAATGGAAACGTGAAACGTGATATTACGCTGCTCATTACGTAAAGCACTGAAATCCATAAATACCCTCAGTTTCTGACGTAGTGTGTTGGCGACTAAGTAAAAATATATAAAATAGTTCAAAGTACTCATTTCTACTAACACTGCAACTATTATATAATGTTTGGATATATAGACACGGCTCCTATACATTTTTATTAAAGACTTTGTTACAGCTCTATGTATGTATAACTATTTTTCAATAAAGTGTAATCGAAAGAGGTTTATTCCGATTAGTACCCATTATACAGACCAACACAATTACTTTCACTTGATTCCCGTGTTCCACCATCTTAGTCTTTATGTAACAAGATTTATTTAAACTCGACTAATTGGTAAAAAATGTCTACATTTTGACATCTACATTCTCATAAGGCTTCTTCATAATAAACTCCTACGTTGATCTGAAACAATAAAAAGTTAAATTAATAAAATTTCATATTAAATAACAAACTTTAAATTTAGAATGTTTCACGAGTTTTTGATTAATTTTACGTTAACCCTCATTTCTCTGTCATTTTTAATGGAAAGGTTAATTGTTTGAAGACTTGAGCTCAGGTAATAAATCATAGCCCTACTATGGAGGGTTTTAACGCTGTTGCTATAAGTTTGTGCCTGATAAATTTCAGTAATCCTATATTTACTAGCAATTCGTAAATTAAATTAAAAGCTTTCATACATAGAAATATAACGTGGGCAAATAAGTACCCGTAGGAGAGCCATGCTACGGTACAAAAAATGGAGCGGTTAGACAGGAGTGCTGCCACGGCCTCACAGAAATTCAGTGTTATATACATATTATAATATATATGTAATACATATTATAACTTGTTTGCTCGATGATGGTGGTTAGTGGCTAGCGCCGCTTATGGACGACTGCAGCTCGAGAGTCACAAGTGTGATGCCGCACTTGAAAGTAACCTTCCCAGTAACCAGCATTGCTAATCTCTAAGAAAACAGCCTTGTGTACGGCGCTTTTATTTTTAACTCACTGACTCGGTAAAAATTGCTTAACAACGATTTTCTATCCGTGTTGAAAATATGGCATTTTATCCCAGAACAGAAGCTGTTATAACAAACAAGTTTGTTTCACATTTTAGGTCTGTTTTTAAGTCATAAAAGTCAAACACAAATTTCAATATTACAGTGCAGTGTGTACATTCTTTCTTTAGCAAATATTTACGTAAAATGTCTGCTTCCGTGACTTGAGGTATATTGTTTTCTTTAAACTACTTTAAGGCATTCAGTTTGCGTGTTGTAATTGGATTGATGCAAGTTTAAAACCCTGTCTTTTATTTTTTGGGACCTTATAATTTTCTAAATAATAAATGTTGTTATGAATAATCTATATATATATTATAAGTCTCACAAATCCCAAGACTTGGTGACTTGAACAATATTAAACGTGAAGTTCTAGATACTTACATATTATATCAGTGCTTATACTACACCACATGTACAGGACAGCCGTCCTTCGTTTTAACATTATCTAGCGGTGGTGCTATCACCACGTACGTGTCTCGGCTGGTAGTAGGAACCTCGTTGTCATCACCAGCAAACAATGGAGGTGGTGGGATGACGTCATCTTCGACTTCATCCTCCGTCGCTTCCTGTCTTTTGCGGCCCGGCATGTAGTTCATAACACATGTCACAGCAATCAGGAACAAGAAGAATATGAACACCACGTCGAACATGATTAAAAAGTTCAGCATTACAAGTTGCATCACGTCACAGACTAACTCCCCTCACATTCTGCGCTCGCCAGCTCTTTGAGAGATACTACTTTTTTCATTTTATAGCATGCTCTTAAACAGCTGTAGATTTCTGAAACAATACAGACTGTATGTTAATATAATTTTAGATTTTTTTTCTGATAACCTGTTCATGTTGCTTCTATTATTGTAATCTCAGCCGTTTCTTTCTTAACATGCTTTTTTTAAAATTTAATCTACTGTGATATTAGAGATGATCTTCCATAGCTTTCTTTAATAATGCATGTACACGGGAATGAAAGATGGCGCAGGCAACTCGTGACACAGCCCGTACAACCTGGTCGAAACATCCATTGTGTTAATTCTCGTGTACATGCATATATAAATATATGACATGGAACGCAAGAGTTTTCTTTTGAGGTAGGTTTTTCATGTAAGTTGTCAAATTATTACGCTTATCAATGTTAATACAGACTTGTCAAAACAACTCATTTTTTTAATTGACAAGAAAGTTAGTTTATAATTGGTTTTTGTGTGCGGCAATTTTGTAAGTCTTGTTACTTCCAAATATTTTCATCAGCTTTCGATTGTACAAATTTTAAGAAAGCCTGAATTGAGCCTTAGTAACATTATGACATCTTTTTCAAATGGCATAGAATTTTTTATATACCTTTTAAAGACATTGCTACATTTAATTCTGCACGTCAAAAAGTAATGGTAAATCATCAAGTTCTTATTTATCTGCAGTTAAGTAACTAGAAAGTTAAGTTAGCCAAAGGGTTTACTTGGTAGAAAGTAGTTGGAGGTGAATATAAACGCGTAAAACACTAATTATGTCATTACTGTTTAGGAATAGGACAATATGTACAAGCAATATCAATTTGTATAAAATAACCATATTTCTAATATAAATAAAATAGGGATATAAAAAACCTATTGGTAACTGCGAAGTATTGCTACGAAAAATATGCCGAAAAACATCGTGTTTCCGCATCGCAAGACCGACGTGTGGTCCCGTTACATTATTTTCACGCACAGTTTCATCTGGCTTTAAAACGTTACAAAAAGAATTGGTTGCTTTACCTTTGATACGTTTTTAATACTACCCTCACTTTCCGGGCGACCCCGATCCTCTTTACGTTTTTAAAAACATACATTTTAATTGAGCTCTTCTGAGATTACCGGTACTAATTTATTTACATATTTATAAATATTTATATACTTTCCATTCGCTTGTTTGTGAGGGTAATAAATCAGACGACGAGTTTATTACTTCAGTCCAATAAATAGCCTTTGCTTAATAGAGAAGCTACAAATAAATGCTTAAACTTACTTTTATAATTACATATTTTTAACGAATAGACAAACTTCTGGAGAAACTGGTGGAATGATCATCATTGGCGGATCGAGGCCATATAGTTGGCAACTTGTAATCGCAACGAGATTTATTGCACGATACTGAATCAGTAATTACTCCCAGTCACAGTGAATCATTATTAAGTTGTTGACATTGAAGGATATTTTTTGTTGTATGTGGAAGTCGTCAAAGACTTACCGCCAAAAAGCCATTTATACGGCGCATTTTCCTAAGTTTTAAATATGTATTCGAGATTACTAATTTGCAGAGAGGTTAGCAGACATAACATGATGTTTATGTCACTTCTCCGTGGCTTTAAATAATAAATGATATCGAACCTTCCTTGAATATAGAATAACACTGAAAAGCTACTTGATTAAAAAACTATTTTGAATACCAAACCATTTCATAAAATTGTGTTATAAGAAAAGTTTTATAAAGTTGTGGACTTTAGTCTATTTGTTTAGCCTATGGTAAAAGGCAAAAGAAGAACAAGATATCAATTTAATACTGGATCGCAAAGTTTCGTAACAACTAAGTTTGTAGACGTCATGTGGGTTGTTTAAGATACAACGTTAACGATAAAGTTTTTCTGTCCTCGGTGTATTTTACGACTGCGATATACATATATATATTAGAGAATTGTATGTAAAATTATAAATTGTCTTAAAGATATTTGCTTCGTGTGCTAGTGCATCAAAGCAGGACACCAGATATAAAAGGCTATACGCCGAGTATAATCTTTAAAATTGGGCAGCTTTGCTTTACTAGCATTGATGCTCAGGTCCATTTACAAGGACCACTACGTGTTTGATTCATAGCTGTCGGCAATAATAGACAAACAAGTTGTTGATAATTAATAACATTCTTTATTTGTTTCTTTATAAATAAATAAACAATTACACTTTTGCTAGAAGTACTGAATTTATATAACTGCACAAGTTTGATTATAAAGGAGAGGCTTATAAATAGGAAATGTGGTTTAATAAATAATTGATACCTATATATAAATAATAATATAATATATAATATATAATAGATACCTACTATCATTTTTCTACTACTACTACTTCTTATTTTGGACTTACTTACTTACTATCTTATTTTAGATATTGATGATATGTGAATGTTAATTAACTACCAAGATACTACCAAAGGGTTCATGATCACCATCACCAGTAACCCACCAAAAGAAACCTACCAAAAATAACACAAACAGATTCTAACGATACGACGGTACGAGATACGGTCATAATTTTATTCTCATTTTCTCTTCATGTGGAGTCGATGCAATTTGTTTTATTCTTTTATTCTCCTCCATTATTTCTTCTATTTACATAAGCGTATCATCATTTAAACAGTCATACACAGTTTTCAGCCGTTCTTTAAGAATATATTTGTACTTTACAATCTTTAACAATCTATTGATTTTTATGGTTTAATATTGAATCAAAATCATGAATGTAGGCCATTGTCTATAGTTATTTGTAATCGACTTCTTTAAGACATCTTCTTTTTATTGATAATTTTTGGCCCTTTAGATCAGGCAAGCATATTTATTATTACCATATCATAATTAAAATTAATACCATACCATAACATAATTTAAACTAACACAAATTAACATTACTTGAAATATCAAAGATTCAATACAATTCAGTTTGACGTTTAGGAGTCTTGGAAAGGCAAACTCGGGAATTTAGCAGCAGAAATATTTTTGTACGTTGCGCCGCCCTTGGGCTAGCTAATATCCGATATTGTCGTTTGACTAAAAGAATGACCTAAAAACTCGGTCCAAATTTTCCTTCCTTCGACGTCTTCTCAAACAATATTCGTTGGTTATTAAATTTGAAATCTATAATTCAGAAAATTTATTGATTTAGCTCAGAGCGTGGGGCGGTCTAACATGACAATTTAATTTCAGGGTTAGGTTAATGCGTTTAATGGCTAACAAACAGCTTAACTAATTTATGGGTGACCCAGAGACCTGTTGAACTATAAATATTGTTTTCATGTTTCACGTCTAAACATACTATCACTTGATAGATCGATATATAGAAAACTCTTTATTGGTACACCGTTTTACAGGAAGTATGGTACATAAAAGTGTCAGATATTTAATGTACAAAGGGCGGCCTTATTGCTAAGAGCAATTTCTTCGTGGCAACCATAGAATGGATCAAAATGTCCCGGACAGACAGTAGTAGTTGTAGTGGGGTTAGAACCCACAACACTCCTCGTAGTAGGAAGCGGCGTGGCGACCGCTTAAACCACTACGCCATCCGTGCATTCAATGTATAATATAAATACAGACATACATATTTATAAGCATAAAACAAATACTTAACCTACATGCAAGCAAATGTACATACATACATAACGACTTAAGTATATAACATATAAAAAACAAACATTCACATCATACCTCAATATATAGCTGACTTAATTGAGATACATAAAACTCTTGAACCATTTTCTTAAAACTGTTTATTGTATGCGCTCGCCTAATGTTAATCAGCAATGCATTTATCAAGCGTACAGCTTCAACAGTAAAAGATTGGTAATAATTTTTTTTAGAATGCAGAGGCATCTCAGGACTCAAATCTTCTGATGACACATATGACATTTGTCATATGTGTCATGAGGATAAAAGATTATAGCAACGTTAGTCCATTTGGCCATCTGCATCAAATTACTATTTTGTTTGTATGTCTGATTGAGAGGCACCATAAACATCTACAAAAAGATTTTGCTCTGACAGGAAGGCGATAATATTTTACAAGCTATATAAATAATAATTCACATTGAATTGGTTAAAGATCAGAGCTGCTGGTCGGCCCTTAGCGGTATCTATAAATAGACACTCATGTATTTGTAATCATCGGCTCTCCAGCTAGTTATGATTTTTAACACCGGTTCATTTACATTTACGTTTTTATAGGACCTTTCTAAATTTTTTCATAAAATGTTTCATCTGTTGTCTACTTTTATTTACCATCTATTATTAAAGTTAAGCCATATAAAGGTCAATGATAGTACCTTCGTTGGAACTTAGTAACATTTCAGACTCAGCGTCTCTGAATGTAAAGCTCACTGCTTCACGTTCAGAGACGCACTCAATGAATATTTATATGGAAATTTATGGATACAGATAGCTGTAAATACATATGATTGAATGGACAAGTTATAATAATAAAAAATCATACAAAAGTTTTAGTTTATTCATTTTATTCATTCATTATTCATAAGGAATATGCCTCAATTGTGCATGTGTGAAACTGTGTTAAACGTGAAAACCTACATGGTGTGAGATTTTCGTGTGAAACTTTTGTCACATGATACCTATGTGGTTCTTCATTTAAAAAATGTGGCACAGTCGATTTTCAACTTTCAATTGTTTTTTTTATTAAGCCTAGTCGTGAAAGATGGATTCAAAATCCTAGTCATTTCTGAATACGAGTTCCGATGCGGAACTAACGCGGCATTAACGGCTCTCAATATCAACTGGACTGGATAGGAGATAGATCAACTGGATAGAGGACTGCTAATAAACCCACTGTATGTTTTTGATAAAAACCTTTTTGTAATGCAAACTTCGACTAGAAGAACGAACCACGTGAAAGAC